ACTAAATTATTGTTCTTGGAGCTCTCAAGTGCTGATTTAACCAGAAAACTAAATTATTGTTCTTGGGACTCTGGAAGAGTCATTTTTAACCAAAAAAATCTAGCCTCTAGAACGTGTTTTTGGATATTTATATAAAAAGATAATATGGATTTTGATGATTTTAGAGCTTTTAACTTATATACTCAACTTACCCAAAAATTCCATAAAATAGAAAAAAGTCTGCTCGCTCTTCCTGCTGCTTACAGCATAGTCTAAAATACCCAAAGTACTTTACTATAAATATAGGTATTATAATTAGAGAGATATTATGGTCAGCATAGGGGTGTACTATATAAATATTTTATATACTAAGTGCAATTAATCTATTTTTAGTACCCGGGTATTTACATTTCCAAATATAATTAATTCATCCTTAGTACCCAGGGTACTTTAAATTCTAGATCTCCAGGTCTTTTAAACCAGGCTATATGGTATTTTCAGAATCCTTAGATTTTTATAGCAGTAACATAGTATTAGTAATATTACAACAACCACATATTTAAATGTGGTCAAGATTGATTTATTTTTAATTCTATATACTAATTTGTTTTATAATATCGCCAGTGCTATTTTTGCTACTTTAAAAATCTGAGAGTTCTATTTTGTATAACAGCTTTTATCCAGTGTATCAGTTACTTACAAAATACAAAGCGATATTTATTAAAAAAAGAAAAAACAAGTGAAGAACTAAATTAAATTTTTTTTTTTAATACGAATTGATATATTTTATTAAAATTAAATTTTAATCTTATAGCAATGGGAGATTTAGAATTAGTAACTTCGTATAATGATATTGTTTTACTGATGATATGGAATATTGAGAATAAATCTTTATTTATCGATATAGATTTGAGTAAACTTAAAGTGAGAACTGGGTTGTTGCTCAAACGATTATAGCTTTATAGTCATCAGGATCTTTAATTAAAAAGTTTTTAATCAATAATTATTGTTTATTTTTTAATAAAAATAAAAATATTCTAAAAATAAAATACAAACTAAATGAGTAATTATTTTTGAATTCAGACCAAAATATTATTATGCTATATATAAAATTGGCTCAGGTTCAAGAATAATTACCCATATTACTTGTAAATCATGAAAATGCAGACAAATTAGTAATAATAATATCATGACCCGTTGGGAATTAGCGGAAACGAAGTTTCCGTTTATTCACATACGGTGATCTTGATATAGTGATCGGGGGATTATAAAAATTATTACCCGATCCCTCGCGTCATTGTGCTCATCCTTTACGATAAAAATCATATCAAATCTCGATAGTATTGTTGTTTGAAAATCAATGTTCTAAAATGTCATTTATTTTAGTTATGCAAGTAGGTTGTTTGATTACCTATAAATTCACTTACCTCTCCAGGTGTTTTCATGTCGTCATAGCGACCAAAAATGGGATTTGCAGCAGCCAGGACCGATGTACGTGAATTAAGAATGGTAGTTATGCCAGCTTTGGCAATAGAAATAGTTTGTTGTTCCATTGCTTCATGAATAGCTACTCGATCTTCGTCTCTCATTTTATCGAATTCGTCTATACATATTACACCTCCATCTGCTAATACCATTGCTCCTCCTTCGAGACGAAACTCTCGCTGTTAACGTTAAGTGAATTCAAGATCAAAATTTATTCTTTCTATAAACTTTTACAAATAAAAAGAGTCTTACTGTAGCAGCGTCACGAACTACAGCAGCTGTAAGACCCGCAGCACTGCTGCCTTTTCCTGACGTATAAACAGCTACTGGTGCAACCTAAATAAAATATAGCTTATTATTAATTTAAGCATAAACTATCTTCATTTGCACCATATTACAAACCTGATGTACAAATTTTAAAATTTGGCTTTTAGCAGTACCAGGATCACCTAGTAATAGAACATTGATATCGCCTCTGAGTTTCATCCCATCAGCCAGAACTTTTTTGCTGCCGCCAAAGAGTAAACATGAAATAGCATGTTTTATATCTATAAATAATTATTAACCGAATTATTTTATGACTTGTGTTTTCATTATAATAATAATAAAAAAAAAAACCTCTGTTTCCGAAAATGGAAGGTGCGATACTATTGGTGAAAAAATTATAGAAGTCGGGTCTCCGTGACACTGCAATGATTTCTTCTTCCTCTGCATGAGTAAAACTACCCAATTCTTGTCCAACTTGATCAGTGTCAAGTTCAAGGCCAATGGCTCGTATATAAGGTATACGGGTGCCAACACCATGGCTTTGTTTCTGCAATAAATATAAAAGATTAATAGATCAACTTGAATTAAACCACTAAATTTTGTGAGAATTACCTTGGATAAACTATTTTGGAAAATATCATAAATTCCTATGATCGTAACACGTCTCCCGGGGATAACTTTATTGGTTAAATATCTTTCAAAACAAAATAAGTATTGATATGTGAAACCTTAACTTTCTCTATATGCATAAGGAAAATTGTACCTGTCTACGTGTACCGTTATGTGACGTGGAAGATCACCAACCGGAAGTAACTCTGGTGATTCTTGAAGCTTTAGAACTTGCTGGTCTACAAACGTGCATTTATCATGAATTACAACGTACGGATCAAGTCCACAGTCCTTGGGTCCAATCCCAGATGGATCACTATAAAATGATCATATAAGTTGAAGGATCGCAAAATTGTTATGATTCAGTAGTATTACCTATCGCAGGCTCTTGGGAGCTGGATTCCTGAAAAACCACCGGGGACTGGAAGCATTTTGCATTGCCGGCATGTTTTGCACATTATCTGAATATTAGTCGCTTTAGCAGACAGATTCGTTGCTGCAATGATAATGCCCGAAACACGAACAAGCTGAGAAATGTGTTCTGACTGCATATAATTTTTAATAAATAAATGAATAAATGCGACGATTATTAAATATTTTAAATACTTAATGTTATTAAAACTTTTAATGTCTTACGTTAAGTTTCCGTAAATCTTGAACTGTTTCATTAGAACGAAGCAAAATTTGGAACGTCGGTATTGTATCATGCAGAAGTTGTTTAGCTAAATTTTGTACCGCAACCTCAAACTTGAAAAGGTTCAAAGGATCATGGTCACAATATGTACGTTTAAATTTTTATATACGAATATATTTGTCACCTACCAACGGCAAAAGGTCGGCTGGGCATGTTTTCAGCTTGTCAGAAAGTGCGCGGTCAGCACCATCAAGGTGTTCTAATTGAACCACAAGGTTGTAGTTGCGACCCTCAGCATTACGTTTGATCTTTTCTCTGTACGAATCATAAAGTCACTAACGTAACGATAGCAATAAAAAGCATTTAATTGATTATACCTGTAAATAAAGTGTTCTTCCAGACGAAATTGATCAACAAATTTAAAGAGTTTTTGTTCAATGACGACGCGCGAATCGCTTGGAGTCTTGGACGCGTGTACTCCAGCATGATAAACAATTCCGGTATCCCAACCAGTAGCTGACATCGAAATAACTTTTGACGATATAAATAATTCAACTGACAAGAACAAAAAAAACGCGAATTATCTGTTAAAGGAACGAGGATGTCGCGTGAGCACGTGCTCTTCCATTGCGCGAATATAAAAATTACTGGATGAACCTCACGTGGTGTTTCAGCTATCAGTTGAGATAGAAGCTACATAAAGCTTTTTTGTAACTCTATCCGGCTTTTCTTAAAATATACATAAAAATGATGGATAAGGTCAATATTTTTTGCAGTATCGCTAACGCGCATGATTCATAATTTACTAACTATTCTGTCTTATAGACATTAGTTAAAAAAGAAATTGTCGTAGTAACTGAACAGGTACGTTTGAACCTTTTGTTTTTTTTCACTTGCAAACTATAATAAATTCTTGCTCTTTCTTTAGGAGGTTGCAAAAAATACAAAAGCAGCTAAAGAGCCACCTAAGGGTAAATGGCGGCAGTGGAAAGTTTCAATATATGCGACCGATGACACCGGGGAAAAGTGTCCTCTGACTTTCGTCGAAAAAGTAGAATATAATTTGCATCAAACATTTTCTAAACCGCGACAAGGTCTGTTTGATTATACTTAAGATTATATTACTTTTTTCATAGAAGCAATCGAACTTTGACTATGTCTTAGACACTAAATGCATAAAGGAGCATACAAACATTTAGTAATTTTGATAATATGAATGAATAGTATTAAGTACTTACTAGTAATATGAAATTAATTTTAGTTTTTCATAAGGCACCATTTATGCTCACTGAACATGGCTGGGGTGAGTTTGATATGAAAATTGTACTTCATTTCGTGGATAAGAGTATTGCGCCCTGGCCCATATACCATGACCTCAATTTCCAGAAACCTCTTTATGAAGTCACATATATATTGGTAAAATAAGAAATGTTTCGCGTGGTTTTCTTGGAATGTATCAATACTAATTGAGTCATGGTATTGGACAGGAATTTCTTAATCCTGGTCCGTCTTTTCGTAAATTGCTGTTTCAAGAGATACCTCTTGATTCACCGGCCTCTCAAAAAACCACACCTAGCAGACAAAAAAAATCCAAATCTTCAAAATCCGTGTCCAAATGGCAGAAAACAGATTCACCGGTCACTTCATATGAATCACCTCAATCTTCACGTTCTTCGTGTTCAATAGGCGAATCTACAAATGACAAGGAAAACTTCCAAGTGCGTTTATTTATTTCAGGTTTTCATAAATTATAAAATGGTACTCTAATTTTGCAACTTTTTTTTTATTATTTACAACTTTTGAAGGTGGATTATAACAAGTTAGCCAAAAATCTTTATGATTTGGAGGGGGACGATATTCTGGAGGTGATACATCTTGTAAAAGAGCATCGAACAGGTGAAATGTATATTAACGAAGATATTGAAGGTAGGCATTTAAAAGATGTGAACTCGCCAAACTTGTAATATTTATGATTAAAAAATTTGTTGTGATCATAGGAGAATTTCATCTAGACCTACATACTCTTGGAGATAATTTACTGCAAATTTTATGGGATTTTACAGAATCAAGACTTCTGAAAACTAGAGTTTAGAACCGGGTTATAGTAAACCGGGTCACCCGCGTCAAAACGGTTCAACCGAGTCAAACGTTAACAACTTGGTCAAAACGGTTGAATATGTAGCCTCTAAAAATCTATTATTATTACGCAGAAAACATAACAACATTTAACACACATTACTATTGTATTGTGAATAAACACCCTTTTTTTCTTGATAATTTTATCTATGTTCAATCCCGCTAATTCGGATTTAATACAAACTTTTGGAGGCTACTATACGGACTATCTATTGTTGCGAAATTTTATCAAAAATTTCCTTTGTATAAACTTTCATTATTATTTTCTTTAGCTAATATGTAATACACAGTGTTCCATTATGGCGACTTTTACACTACCCTAAATTTAGGACATAGTTATGATAGATATTTAACATGAGCCAAATCATTTGACTATGTATATTTATAAGAGATGAATTTTAATGTAAAAAGATGAATTTTAGCAGTAAAAAGATATTGGTTTTAAGTCGGGGAGATGGGTTTGACGTGATAATTATATTGTTTTTGGGTTCAGTTTAATAAATACGTCATACGGTTGACGTATATACGTATCATAAATAGTAATTCGGGGGTTTTTAATTTTTGCCCAATTCCAAAAATGTGCCCGAATGCGACACGTCCGATAGTGCCCTGGCAATTGTAGTGCTGAGGTTTGGTCATGTAACGTGATTGCGTTGCATGAATAGCATGATCGTCGATAGAGAGTGATGCATAACTATAGTATCCCTTAATTTGTAGACTTTAGCAGGCAAATTTGCCTGCTTAGATACTATAAAATTAGCTCTGATTTATTTTTTTTAATATTCAAAATATTTAAATAAAATTTGGTATAATAATATTTGAAAATAAGGATTACTTTTT